AACACGGGGAGAGGGTGCTTTAGGTTTTGTCCTTGTTTCTCACCATACCAATCTATTTTAATGAGCAATAAATTAAGTTAATCTCCCTCAAGATGAGCCTGTTTTGTCCATTAAGGCAAGTGATGTCCCTGCCCTCATCTTGAGACACATGGAGTGAGAGAGGAGCTGGGTGGGAGCCTGGCAGCCAGCTGAGGTCAGCCCACTGTCCTTGGGAATCAAATTTGGGAACTGAATTTTACAAACTCAGGTAGTCCAATTATAAAAAAAAGAGTGACCAAAGTTCATATTCACTTGCTGACAGTGAGGTGAGCAACACCTGCTGCACAGAAAGTATATGCTGGTTCTACCACCTGATGTCCACAGCCACCTTCTGTGAAGGCTCAAAGTTCTGGAGTGGTTTCAAAAGCTGCTTAAACTGATTTAAGGCTTTGCTACCGCCAAAAGAGAAGAGATCCTGCCCTACTTTTCACATGCACATCATTGCACTATTTTCTTGTGAGGCAGCACTAAGGCTTATCTGGCTGAAAACTACTGTTCATTTTTAGTGCTGGAACAAAAAGGGAGCAAAAGATCACCACTTCCAGCAAACACAATATCATGAAACTATACCCTTGAAGGGCTTCAGGCTCATGATTTCAATGTACCTCAGAAAATGCCTATGCTTATGAGACTTGGATCACAGCCGTTCCCCCAGCTTCACACTGGGGTTTCTTAAAATGTCCATCCTGATTTATTCAGATGTAAAGATAGTAAGAAATATCCTGCTGGGTTTTTTTGAGGCAATTTGTCACAAAATTTTTTCAACACTGCTTGACCAAACCTGCGACAGGACCAGAGGACTTTCTGAACCAATCTAAATTTATGGTCTGCTAATCTGGTATCTTCTCTGAGACAAACGACAAGGTCAATCATTCAACAAATGTGCATGACCTCCTGCAGTAGCTATCTGTAACATAATTCATTTCATGAAAGAATACCCTACCCACTTAGCCATTCATTTTGCCTTACACCTTGGGTCTTCTTCCCACTAAAATCTTAAAATAATTTACTCATAGAAACATAGAATATGCTGAGTTGGAAAGGATCCAACTCGAGTAAGAATGGCCCAACTCCTGGCCCCAAGAATCCCACCACGTGCCTAAAAAGCATTGTCCAAGTGCTTTTTGAACTCTGTCAGGCTTGGTGGTGTGACCACTTCCCCTGGGGAGCCTGTTCCAGTGCACAACCACCCTCTGGGTGAAAACCTTTTTCCAAATATATAAGCTAAACCTCCCCTGATACAATTTCAGGTATTTGCTTGGGTCCTGCCACTGGTCATGAGAGTGAAGAGATTGGTACCTGCTGCTCCTCTTTCCCTCATGAGGATATTGAAAACCACACTAAGGTCTCCCCTCAGTCTCCTCTACTCCAAGCTGAACAAATCAAGTGACCTCACATCGCTTAACGTATGGACCCTTTTCCATCCTTGCTGACCTCCTGTGGATGCTCACTAATAGCTTCATGTCTTTTTTATACTGTGGTACATAGAACTGCCCCCAGCACTCGAGGTGAGACTGCCTCAGTGCAGGGCAGAGCAGGAAAATCCCCCCCCTTGTCCGACTGTGATGCTGCCCCTCCTGGCTGCCAGGGCACTGTTCAACTTGCCATCAACCAGGGTCCCTGAGGAACCTTTCCATGGCACTGCTCTGCAGCATCTCATTCCCCAGTCTGTCCTTACATCCAGGGCTGCCCCATCCCAGGTACAGAATCCAGCACTCGCTCTTGTGGTTGGTGATTGGTTAAGGTGTCTCTGTAGGGCCGCTCTGCTCTCAAGGGAGCTTCTCCCAATTAAATGTTGTCAGCAAACTTATTTAGTATTCCTTTGTGTCCAATTCATTAATTCTCACTGCCCTGTCAATTCAAAACCATTCTGAATTTTTCCAGCTTCTTGGCTTTGACCGTAGTAATCTAGTGGGGCTTTTTTCCAGCCAGTTACTTCCCAGATATGATGTGCACTTGTAGGTGCATACTTTCCCCATAAAACTATTATTTTTCCATGTAGTTTCAGTTTCTTTTTTTGCCTGCCAAAAAGAAAAGAAAAGGCATGTTCCCCCCGCCACACAAACATATGCAGGAGAATGAGCGTCTGGTGTCTGACCATTATTGATGCTGAGATTGACTGGGACGAACAGCAAGGGCTCCCAGTACCACCTCTGGCTCAGTGAGCCAACTGTTTGATAGTTCTCATGTTGTTTAACAGCTTATGTATAATTGCTGCTGGCTTCGACTGTAACACAGTAAGTGCAGCACTGTGGGCAGAAAGTTTCTGCACCAGCAGTTTTATTCTCTTTCTTTCAGGAAGACTAAGATCTGAACTTGACTGCATTACTTTGTGAAATTTTGTTTTCCCCACAGAAGTCTTCATTGTATCTGATTCAATCTGAATCATCCAAGCCCATAAATCTCATAGCAGCCTATGTTGCCACTATAAAATAGCTGAATTTACTTTCAGTTAAGGAGGTTATAAAAAGCTTAATTTCAACACAGTGATTAACGTAATTTTTGCATTTATTATTCTCCGTATTTTTAATGGATGTACATACCATAGATCTATGTAACATTCCATTTTCCCTACTGCTTAATGGTTTACCTTTAAGATGGCAATGATTAAAGGAGGCAAAATGTATCCATCTACAGCCTAGGGATTTTAATTTATCAGTGAAAAGTTGGGTCTCAAAAGTGAAATTAAGTGAAGAGTTAGTTCAGAAAAAAAGCAGGTAAAAACCATAGTAATAGGAAATTTTAAAAGTATTTTAATTTTTAGAAAGAGCTTTACAACCTATCAACCTTTGTTTGCCTACAATTTTAGTGTTTGTTGCAACAATACCTTAGTCCTTATTTCTTGCACAGTCCCAGGATTCCAGGGCTCCTTGTTTTTCACAAAAAGCTAGAAACTAAACACTTCCAGGGCAGGAAAATGGGAAAGAACTCATGAGAGTTTTGCTACCAACTAGCATGGTATCTTGAATTTAAATGGGTCAGACCATTGAGACTGGTTGGTCTGGGGCCTCCTGATTCTGGATCTGTACTATTTACAGTCTTTGTGCTCTGTGGATATTCCCTAAGCTGGCCTGACCACTACTCTGCCTTTTTAGAATGTTCAAAGCCACTACACTGGAAGTAATAGCTCCTGTGAGAGGAGAACTGCTTTCATCCCTGTTACTATCAAGCAATAAATACCTCCAAAGCAAAAAATACCAAAATCTACACACCATAAATATTTCTAAATGAAAAGTAGTATTAAAGAGAAATTGCATCTAAAACACTTAAAGGAATATTTTTGCCAGTATAATGGTGTTTTTAAGTAGGAAGACTCCTTGTAACACTTAAAAACTTCCAGTTTTTTTCTATTTCACTAATCACTTCCTAATACTCAAAAAGTCTCAGAAGGCATTTCCTACTAACTCTGCTTATTACAGTAACCCCTTTAATCCATTTTGTAGTATATTATACAGACATCAGCACATTAGAGGACCTACCAAACAAATTCTCTGACTCAGGTGACAAAATAAGAAGCATTTCTAGTTCAGATTTGTGCATCAGATCCTCAGGTTTTGCTGCAATCTCAGGTTACTGGTATAGATTTTTTAAAAAAAACCTCCTAGATTCATTCATATTCCATTTTTGCTTTAATTTGCTTTTCCACTTCATATTTACCTTACAGACAACTTTATTCTATTTCACATTCCTGAGAATCTCATTGTAGCTCACAGGTCTATGTGGATCATCTCTTTAGCAGCAATACTCTTCAGGGCACAAGACAGTCAAATGTGCATGCAAGTCCTTGAAGCTACTGTTCAAATGGAAATTCAACTTTCAAATCCCAAAACATTTGCTTTCATTTAAATTAGTCTGAGTTATAACATTGGTGACTTACTCCCAGACACATTCATAAGACAGTATTTCATATTCTCAGAAGAAACTGCCTGTAACTGAGATATGCAAGATAGTGAACAGAGATAGAAATTAATTTTATCACTGCGATGAACACACTACTACTTCAATCAAAATTTATTTTCAAGTTTTGGTGGAACGGGAACAGATTCAGGGGAATTAGAAGATTAAATATTTTTGATAGAATCATAGAATATGCTGAATCGGAAGGGACCCATCAGGATCATTAAGTCTAACCCCTGTCTTTTAAAAATGAAGAGTCTCTTTACCAATGTGAGTACCTTGCAGGAAATAAAGACTTCTGTATTAAATATATTTATATATGGGTGTTAATACAATTGTGACATGAATTTAATTTTTGGCTCCTAAAATCAGAAAAGGGTCTAGAATGCAAGCCTGATACTATAATCACACCTCCTAATTTCACTGTGCTGTCTACATCACTGACATTGAATTTTATGAAATGACTACAGAAGCAATGGGACTACCTGGTGGAGACTGAGGTGTACAAGCATTAACTCAAATGGAACTCATCAGCTAAAAAGGCACAGCAGACATTTTATCTGCAACCTGAAAAATCACAGTACCTTTCTGTATGCAGCTACATTGCATAAGATACTCACAGGCAAAAATATAAGGACACACACTACTGAATGTACTAATCAAAGACAAACCCTACCCAGAACTGATCTGTTTAGTGGTGCACAATGGCAGATGCCACAGCATATTTTTTTGTGATGCAAGGCTGCTCAAGATCATCTATGGATAATGAACCATGACAGCTTGGGATTTGATAAAACACAAATTGATGGTGAGAGAAGGCAAAGAACACAACTACTATCTCAACAAGAAATGCAAATCAACTGGATATTTTTAATCTTTAATGTCAGAATGAAACCTCATGTATTACCACAAAATTACGTGTTCATTAATCTAACAAAATTTGCAACAGAAAAAGTGATTTCTAAAATTTCTTTACAGTCTCCATTTTAATTCTCGGAAAGTGCCATGGATTAAAGTATTTAATAGGTTACAGAAGGTAACAGAATCTTGTTTGTTTAAAATACCTTATATGATTGGCAGCAATGCAAAGTTCACAGGGGAATCTTAAATGAAGGTTCTTCTTCTTCACAGTTAGGAAAATTATTCCTTTTCTCCCTTTAAAAGAAAGACATTCAATGTAAACACTTGCCAATACCTATAGTGCTGTATTTTCCATTTTGCCCATGAACAACTGCTGCTTAAAAACTCTTTTAAATGTACTTGGCTAGTTCACTTTCAGCTGGTTATCATGAGATTTAATCAGACTGTTAAGAGACACAAAAGGAAAATATGTGAACAAAATTTCTTCATCATGGACTGATTTGGACTGTTTTCTTAGTGTGCTCCAATATTATATATTTCTGTAGATTTCATCAGTGAGCCAAATAAAGTGCACATTATGTCTTTCTACTGCTGTAACCCACAAGATGTCTTAACTTAGCATGCTCAGTGAATTCACATGACACTGGAAAGACACAGATTTACACTTGAACATTTTTAAACTTCTATACACAAAAAGACAATTTCAGAACAGTTTGGACTAAGGGGAAAAAGTGACATCAGTCAATTCAATCTTAGACTCAAAACAATTTCCTAGAACTATTCTGATTATAGCAGATTTTTTTTTTTTGTCTCCTCTGCTCTTCTATTTGCCTTCTATAGAGTCTCATATTCTGGAAAATTAAAGGAATTCACATGGCTTTTCCCCACAGCTATAACCAGAAGCTCCAGTTAAGACTGAATGCTCACTGTGCTGGAAGTTGTTTGAACAAGACTGTTAGACATCTTAAAGATTTTTATAAACCAAATCCCTTAGACAGTAAAGAATAGGAGTAAAGCTATATCAATATATTTGTTCTACAGATGAAAGCTAAGGTACACAAACATTAAACAATATGCTGAAAGTCACACAAGTCTGGTTCAACGATCCTTAAATGCCTTGAATCCTTGCCCAGTGCCTGAATCACACCCCATAAAGCCTGTCCCCAGTCCCCATATCTTATATGCAGCACTTCTAAATATTCTCCTTAGGAGGAAGTACTATAAAGTCAATAAAGTCAATAAAGATTTTTTTTTTTTAAACAACAAAAGCACGGAATTAAATAAAAAATTAATCACAATAGTTTTAAATACACAGGTGGGAAATGTTCATTTTTCATTAGTTAAGTACTAAGAAATCAATACTGAAAAAATTATGGAATTTTCTGTAAATGTATATGCCTATTATTTGCCTTCTAATTTTTAGGGAATGAAGTCTATATCAGCAAGCGCATTGCATTGAATTTAGAGTCACCAAGGTCTGGGAGTACAAGAATTTACAGCTCCACATAATGTGTCTTTTCTATCAGAAAAGGAAAGAAAGACTAAAGCCTTTGAATTACTCCAGGACTAGGGTTTTAATGAAATAACTATCAGGAAAAGCTGTTTAAAAATGTTCTGACTTTCACAGTCAACAATTATTTTGTAGCTTGTGGCTGTCTGCATAGAATATCTTTATTTATCAAAACAACAAAGTAAATTAAACTCATTAGATGCAAACCACAACATTAATAAAAAAAAATCACTGCAATGTCAAGCACTCGAAGTTTAATTCAGTCTATTTCTGAGGCTTTATGAAAGACTCTGAGTCACAATTTTTTTGTGGGGAGCTATGCTTATTCAGTGCCTAGGTTATTTTTTCAAGGAATTTAAGGGGTTTAGCCCTCCTATTCATGAATGCTCTAGAATTCATATACCTTATGGAGCAGATTCTTAAAATAAAATAACTATTTTTGTGATGAAATTTCTTTAAGATAAAACAATCCAGTAATTTCATATACCAAATAGTAGATCCTTATTTCCTCTCCACATTTTTTTTCCCCCTCAAGCATGTAGCATATATTGTATGTTCCTACATATCCAAGACAACTCCCACTGAATTCCATGTTCCAGCCTTCCTGGCTCATTTCTCAACCATTCCCAGTTCTCTCAAACTAGGATTACTGGCTGATACTACTGGCAGTTATGCTGGCAGCTCTGCATCTGCTGTCCAAATATCCAATTCCTCATTAAATCTGTCTTCTCTAGAGCTCCCTGCCAACTTTGACTCTTTTTATCTAGTCAGTCCCAGTTTCCCATTCCATGTCCAATTTTTATGCCCTTTCTCATTATCCAGCTTGACTATTAATCCACTGCCTTTGCCCATCAAGCCTCAGCCATCCCCTCCTCAGCTCAAGGCTGACCAGTTTTCTGGTACTCTCTGCCCACTGGGTCCTGGCAGAGTTCTGTCTGGGATAACACACAGGGGAATACCAAAAGCCATCACAGGGAACTCTTTTTGTATCTTTTTCATCTTGCAACAAAATGTCCATTGGGTGATAGGGATGCTAGAGTTTATCAGAGTCAGCCTCTGGAGTTCTGAGAAGCCAGAGCACACTTAGCAAAGACTGCAAATGGAGATTTTTCATCTTTGTTTTATTAACAGATCCCTCTTCCCTCTGTGAATTATTTTCCTTTTCACAAGGCTTATGATTTTGCTAATTCTAGTGAATATTCACAGGCATGGCCACAAACACATTCTGTCAGAACTGGCAATCTCACTGCTAGGCAGAAGACCTAAATCTGCCAAAAAGGAAACTTTCAAATATGACATGTAGTTTTGTGCTGAGATCTTAACTGTGTTGAACAATCCTAGTTAGATGTAAATATTTCTAAGGGGACAAGAGTTAATATTTGGGAGTCAGGAAAAGACAGATAAATCTATAGAGTAAGTTTTAGTATGTTTTAATACAGGTAACAATGAAGCATGAACCATGTTTCAACAAGAATTTTTAGGTTTTCTTAGAGATTTAAAACTTCTTTTTACAAGTCTCTTAGGGAGCAGGATGAATCTCTCTCACTTATTGGATGAACAGTGCATAATACTTTGCATAATGAAATTAAGCAGCCTGAAGTACATGTGAACATGACTAATGAGACCAAATGCAGCAGGAAAACCAAGCAGATGGCTTGAGCGAGCTGGAACAGAGTAGCAGGGAGAGATCTGAATGTTTTGGGGTTTTGGAGGATACATACAGAAACACAAATATAATTTTTGCATTTCTGTATAGCAGTGCATCTGTCAGCACTCTAGTGGTCTACAGACCACAAGTGAGAACTTGCCAGAATACTAATACTGTGTGTGGAAAACCTTTATGTGTCATCTGTGGAGATACAAAATGCAAACAAAATGGAGGTTGGGGGTAGGAGTTGTTTGTTTTGCTGTGCCTGGCTTTTTTAATTGCATAAAAAGATACTTAAGCAAGTGGTATATTTTTAATGAATTAGTTCTTTACCAATAGCCTGGTTCTCAGACACCTCCTTAGTAGTATGAACATCTGGGGGGAAATGCAGCAAGAGAGAGAGAAAGGAGGGAGCAGGTATTAAAAATAAAAAATGATGGGAAAAGTCTTTCTTATCAAGAAAGGTCAAAGACCAACTTACAAAGGATGCTACCAGAAATATTGGAAGATGAAGATACATTCAGTTTGCTCTCATTGCTTGCTGGGAAAAAACCAAATCTGTCCACAGAAAAGACTAACTGTTCATTTCTGTAACATGAGCACAACGAGGGTTAGCAGACAACCTCACCTTGAGTGGTATTCAGGTGAAGGTATAGCTCTGCTCTGCATGAAACACATTCTGACACTGGCTATTTACATCTGCAAACTTAAGGGCTTGCCTGCAGTTATGTTATAAAGAACAAGCAGATTCAGAGAGAAAAAGTATAAAATTGAGCAAATTTGCCATGTCATCCTGCTGCCATCTCTACCACAAATGACTGGGATAAAATGCCTTAGGATGTGTATTTTCTGACTGAGATTTTTTTTCACTAGAAAACTTTGTGATGTTTTGAAAGGAAGCATAGACATTACCTCAGATTGCAATATAAAGGTATCTTGTCAATAAAGTAATTATAACCAATGTTTAGAAGAAAACTATTTAATTGATTTTTCTGCTCCTGTCAATAAGTATAGTAGTCTGCTTCACTGATGATGACAATGCTACGGCTGTAGCCCATCTACCCCATATTTGACTATTACATGCTCCTAGTATTCAGTGTTCATAACACAATTTAGTAGTGCAAAATACTTATATTACCAACACAAACTGCTGAGGTATGAAAGTCACACATTCTTTAACCCCTTCAGTTAGTTTTAAAAATGTATCTTTCTACTGTGTGCACTGGTCTCCGCTTTTTAAAAGTTCAGAATATTTTGAAACATAGAAAGAGACTGAATAATTCCACTGAGCAGCATTATTCAGGCAAGAAAATAAAAAAGGAGCAAAACTCACAAAACCACAAACTTCTTTTAATTCTGGGGGACAGTAGCAATATTTCCTTTTTTTTTCTCCTTCTTTTCCATGGACTTCTGATGGTATTTTTTATCTTCTGAGAGACAGAGGACTCAAACTCTACCTTTGTATCATTTTAGGTTTGGCATAATATTGTATGTAGGATAACCAGCAACTTTAATGGAAGCTGGTAGGAGCAAAGTGCAAAACAAACAGAAGAAAGTGGTCCTCTGCCCAGCAGGTGGAAGATCTATGAAACTGCCAGAAAAATATTAGAGGGTACAAGAAAATTTTAAAAAGCTGAATGGAGAAACTTAACATGAATTTAGAAAAGAGATTCATTGAGAGCTGGTGATACCACACCAGGTTTAGGAAATCCCTTGAGCTGAAAACAGCTGGAGGCTGGGAATTTTCTAGAGATGTGTTATGTACTCTCACTCTATTCTTCTCTTCACTGGAAATCTGCTATGGCTTATTGGTGATAAGATGCTTAACACTGTAGATACAAGGCTAAGAGAATCCCTGGTCTGAATTTTTGGAACCATTCTTCCATTTCAATGAGATACTCTGAATTTGGTTATACTTCTGCCTAATCAAAGGTAAGGAAATGGATGCCTTCATATTCCAGGAGCTAGTCAAATCCAGTGCATGACACATCTGCATCACCCACTGGTCCTCAGTACTGTGAGACCACTTGTACTGAACACACTGAACATATTTGTATGGCTTAAACTGGG